CTTTTGACCCTGCCTGTCAACGTCCTAAGCTCACCTATGAATAGCGTGAGCTCGCTGGAGGTTTGAGCTCGCATGTTAACACTTTGAGCTTGCCGACGAGGTTTGAGCTTGCCTGCACTTCATGAGAGCTCTCCACAAGAGCCCATTTCAACCAAGGTGCGCAATGAGCATTGGTCCCCTTCATTGAAAGTGTTCCAGACCATATTCAACCATATTTAGGTCTACAAACTTTGAAGGGGGTCTTGTAGGTAGTAAAAAGTGCCTAAGAGTTTAGATGGGTTCTACACGAACTAGGAGGACTAACTTCCCACTTGGAGACTCGAAGTCTGACATTACGAGTCGATGCCCCATCCGACTCTGATGACTCGAGACCCCTCATCGACTTGAAGGGCGATCTCAGTCAGCACTTCGAAGACCAAGTAGCCGAGACTCCCTCGGTTACTCGAAGGACGGTCTCAGTCGACCCATCGTAAACCAAAAAAGTCAAGACTCCCTGTGCTGACTCATCCTCACCTTGAAGACTTCGGGCCGAGACCCCAAGCAGAGACCCCTTTGTCGACTCGAAGGGCGGCCTTTGTCGACTCTGTCGACTCGATGTCCGAGACCCAGAGACCCCGAGCCAAGACCGTTTAGTCAACTCGAAGATCAGGCTTAGTCGACTCCCCTTCACAGAGTAGACTCGGCAAGGGCACCTTCACATTCAAAGACCCAATGGTCAAGACCCTTCGTGTCGACTCGAAAGGCTGTGTCAGTCCACCCAATAAGACGACGCCCTCGTGTCAACATAAAGGGTGGTCTCAGTCGACCCGAAGCAAAGCGAAGCCATCCAGATCACCAGCACAAGTTGGGGCCCACTTGAGTCATCCAGCACGAGACTAACCTTGCTTGCTTGTTGAGCCTGCTTGCTTGAGTTAAAAGCTCTCCTGTAGGCTTGAGCTCGCCTGCATGGCTAGAGCTCGTATGGAGGCCAAGCTCGCCCGACAGCTAGAAACCTGCCAACACTGTCAACAGTCGCATCAGTGGTCATATTCCATGAATCAAGGAGGAAAGTATGGCGCGTCTCACCTAGGCATGTCCATATCCCATATATCAAAGATCTCTCTTACTCTACAAATAGTCACTAATGGCTACAAGAAGAGGGCGGCTGTTAGGCCCCCTAAGTGGTCACATCCCAAATCCAGGAGGCATAGTGCTCCTCACCCCTACTTGATACATTAACACCATACTCTATCAGTTTGATTCTATCATTTTCTC